GAGGAGGCGGGGAGCGAACAGGCTGCTGTGAGCCCGCCTGTGCGGGCACAGGAAGAGGGGGTGAGGAGAGAACCAAAGGGGAACCCGGCTCAGGCTCTTCCCGCAGGCAGGAAACGCACCGGCCGTGCGGAGGCAGCTGTTAGCAGCACGGACAGACCCACAGGAAAGCCAGAGCACTGGTGGGCACACACGTGAGCCCCAAAGAGAATATTCCTCAAGAAAAAGTGCCACCCGTGCCCTAAACTGGCTCTTCTGCACCAAAGTCTATGTCGAAGGTGGGGGTTTGCCGCTCTCCTGACAAATGAGAAAGGACAAGAGGCGTTTCAAACCCACGTTTTACTTATTTACCCCGAAGCGAGTCACGGGGTTTACACTACGGTGGCAGTTTAGAGGCAGAAGGGCACCCTTCTTCACTCGGCCGTTGCTCCTCTCAGCCTTCGCTTCCCTCTTCCCCAAAAAAAGAAACACACAAATATAAATACAGGATAGAAAGTTCTCCAGGGGTGGCACAGGACCCGCACACCTAGTCCAGGTCGTTGGCTGTGTCCTCATCTGTGAGACTCTGTCCGTTCACAGCTGGTAGATCATACTGGCCTTGGGATAAATCCTCAAAATCCTGACTCATGGTGGGAGAGATGATGTCAGGGCTGGTGTCGCAGGACTCTGTGCTCTGCTCAGAGGTAGCAATGGTGGTTGTCGTGCTTTTTGGGACGGGGTCGAAGTCGTCGTCGTCTTCTAGGATGGGAGATTCGTGGATGTCTGGAAGGGAAGACGCAAACGTTAGTTTTGCTGCTGCAGCTATATGAGATGAGGCACTGCCGGTGTGACACCGGGTACGAGACACACCCCAGCACAAGAATTAGCAATTTCTAATTCTAAATTTTGTCTGCTTGTAGCAGTCATCAATAAAAACCCAACACCACTTAAATTAGTGGCCACTTGTAACTTCTTGCAACCACATTTAGTATAATCAAGAAGCTTTCCAGGTTTTTAGTGCAGGAGCCACACGCTGGCACACGCCTGGACGTCTTGTCAGCTTCCCCCCACTCCCGAGAACCCCATTCTTGGGGAAAAGGACTCTTTGCACAGTAAGAAATTCACATGTCGGAAGGAATCACTCACTGCTGAACGCCTCCGGGTACTGCTTCGCCAGCTTTCCTTTCAGTGTCCTGGGGGAGGAGAGAGCAAGCTAAGTCCACAGGGAAGCTGATCAATCTAGGGTGAGCTGCTCGGACGGCTCCCTCTGTTCTCCAGCATTTACGAACAAGGCAAACGGATCCCAGGGGGTGACGGGGGCCACGGGGCTCCCTCCCCAGCTCCCCATCACCCCCTCTCAGCACAGCGGATGTTTCTCCAGGTCCCGTGTTTCATGACCATCCTGGGCAGTGCCGCATCCCTCCTGCAGCCCCAAGGGAGCATGAATCATCCTGGTTGGAGCAGAAATCCTGAAGCCTGAAGCTCTCACCTCTGCAGCTCCTCTCCCACTGCCTCCATGCATCACTTGGCCACACATTTTCCTCCAACTATTTTTACCTCCAAGCCTGCCCTGAGCTTGTACTTGTGTCCCGCTTTAACACCCCCACAGCCCACCTAGACCTTAACAAGCCACCCCGTGCTCTCTGCGCCATCTCTCCCATCCCCATTGCCCACCGGATCCTCCGGAAGATGCTGTCCAGATCTTTCTTCATCTCCACCAGCGTTTTAGTGTGGTGGAGGAACCGCTCGTTCATTTGCTGCATGCGGACGCTGGAGAGGTTGTTGAAGTTGAGCAACATCTCGTTGGTCTTCTCAAATCGATCCAACCTGTGCGAGGGGAAACAGCGGCAGCTTGGCAACGATCCCAAGAGGCTCCCGGTGCCGATACCGGGGTCCCTGTGGGTCGGTTTTCCCTGAGACTCACATGTTTTTCTGGGCCAGGATGATGGCGTTGACGTCCTCAGCGTTGACCATGCCCAGCACTCGCCCGCAGAACACCTGCGAGGCCGTGGGCTCCATCGCGGCCTATGGGACCGCGGGGGACTGCTCAGCCGGGGGACAAGAGCCTCCCGCGCCCCCCGGGACCGGTAACGGAGACACACCACCACCACCA